AACCAAGTTTATTGCAATTAACAAAATTAAATCATTAGCTGTAACTAGTAGATTAGGTTAAAGAGATAAATAGATTATAATTTGTACGGTGAATTGGAAAATGAAAACTACAACCTCAACCTAATATTATCAAGAATTCTAAGGGCTTTACCATGGAGAAAGTTATAAAAATCTCCGATATCGTAATTGTATGTAATGTAACTGTTAAACATGTGTAATTTGTGAATTATTTGTTTTTAAAGTGTATGCCCATAGCAACCGAAGAGAAGTGTTTGATGTGTATTTCAGATGGGGGTCTCCCAAAAGAACAATATAAAATTTAAAACACATTTGCACCGATAAAGACCTGGGTATTTCGTCTAAGGAAACCAGGCATCTAAAAAGGCTTTATTCGTGACATTATTAATATGATTAAAAAAGTGAAGACTTGCTTTCAGTGTAACTTCGAGTTCTTCCAGATGTTTTACAAACAATTGATTGTTGTGGTAAAATAGTACACAACAAAATGAAAAAATATCGAATTCTACGCCACTTAAAGAATTACATATTATTATATATAACTTATTTATTTTATTATATTTACTTTATAATTTATAATTTAAATTTTTGATAAACCAGATATTAAAATCTAGTTATATGTCACAAAAGTTATAAAGCATTCGGATGATTTCGATACTGCATTAAATTATAAATTTGTTTGTTACGAAATATCAAAATTTGGCGACGTCAAAAAGAAGATATAAATTAGAGCCGTTAAAGCCAGATAAACAATAGTATATTATGCAACAAGTGGGGTAAACGGCAATAAACTCAAGAGATTATTTGACACGAGAGGAGCGCAGCGGAGCGCGTGTTTAATAAACGAGTGAGTCAAAAAGTTTACCAAACGTGTTGCATACTATACTTTTTCTACGACCTTTAGTTTTTTGGTATATTTTCGCAAAACAACACGAATACATTCACTGACATGACCGTCAGAATTGATAGATGTCAAAAATCAAGGCGTGAGAAATATCTCCAAATACATCCGATTGCTCCCAAACTCGTGCGGTAAAATCCCGGAAAGTGGCTCGGATTCGTGGGAAAGGAAACTGACGTGGTAAAGTGACGCTTCCCGCACGTTAGATCGGTGTGTAATTAGGCATTTTACAAACGGGAGTAGAAAAAATGATTTGTAATAGAGACTAATTGCCGGGCAAAAAATTGTATAAAAGTCAAGGCGAATGAAATCGTTATCGGGAAGTGCAGTTTTCTTTCTCGAGAAAACTGTACTCCGTCATTATTTTCAATCCCTTAAAAGGCGTAGCAATGATTACGTCACCGGCAAAACCTCTTTTTCGTAGTCCAAGGTCAAAATAATAAGTCGATTTACATAAAGGAACACATATGGTCACTTTTACGCTTGATTTTGTTTGGTCGTTTTTACGATACTAATAAATCGTTCACCTGTTAATTACATTTAGGAAACGGCACGGCAGAGTGGTGAAACGTGTAATTGTCCCAAAGAAGTGGTGTCCTATCGCACCTAATTTCACTCGAATTAATTATTTCACAATTACACCGGCAATAACATTATGTGTATCACACACAATCGGGCTTTATATTGATTATATAAACAAGAGACAATTTAAAAGAAGCGGAATAGTTATTATTAAATATGCACGTTTTTAAGGAGTTATGAATAGGAAATATTTAATAAAAAAATCCTTTTTTGATAGGAAAAATGGTCAGCTGTAGGTAAGATATCGTGTATGATATGTTTTACTCGTCTTCATTTATCTGGCAACCGGCCTTAACCGTCATATTTGTGAATTGAAGGTAAAATTTCCAGTTCAGCAATGTCTCACAAGTGCACGAAAGATTTTATCACACTGCGTTAGGTTAGGTTTTGATAATTTTATAGGTAGACCATGATTTATTCGAGACCGTTTTCCCATCTAACTGACTTTGACGTTAAATTATTGAAAGTATCATAGTTTTGATTTAATAGTACGTTTTTGTTTCGTTAAAATCATAAATGTAACAAACAATTTCATTAAACGGTCCAATATCTTGGCTGTCTTGACCTTGTACCCTGGAATTTCTTCCTCTGGGGTCACACAACAAATGAAGTCTGCGAATTTGATCTTCTTGAGGTTATAGAACCCTTGAGTCAAAGAGTTTTGAGGATATTTAGGAACAACGAAAGTACATTTGCTGGAGTTGCGCGGAAAACTGTCACCAATTGCCAAAAATGTCTCAATCGAACTTTTAGGTTTTGCAACTGTTAAATTACTACGTCTTTTCTGGCTTTGTCTTTTTAACAAACACATTTATACTTTTTTTTATGTTTTTATGTTACTTGATGTTAATGTTAAATAAATCACGGCTTACTTATGAAATAACTAAGGTCCTACAAAGTGTGATAAAATATTTTGTGCACTTGTGAGATATCACTGAACTGGAAATTTTATGCTTTTTCCAAAAATAGAAAAATCTAATATGGCGGCTTTAAAAAAAAAGAAAGTTAAGGCGAGTTGCGGGATAAGAAAAGACGATTGATCAATGCCAATCAATGTCAATATCAAGCTGTTAATTTACAGTGTGAATGTAGACACCATATGGAGTAACACATTTATATTGTTGGTTTATAGAAAAAAAGTAATTGTTTAAAAAAAGTTACGCGTGGTCTAAGATTGCCCTGAATTGGAGATGCTACCAACAGATATAAAATTTGTTGAGCCGTATAAAAGGTTTGCCTATAAAGCTGAATTTTACGCAAAAGTGAAGTACTTTTATTTTTGAAAATATCGGAACTTGTTATTAAGAAAAGTATTTTATAAACTTTCCTTTGCGAGAATTGATAATTTGATAGTTTATAATAATATTTGTAAAATATTAATCAAGCTTTCCAATAACTTATGTGTAATTAGCAAAATTTGCATAAAATCGACAATGATTTTCAATTATAAACAACCTCGAGAACTTTATACGAGGAAGATACACTCTCGCATAAAAATGTAAAAATGTTCGAATTTTCAAGTTTTAATACACGAATCACTTTTTTATTAAAAGCAGCTTTTTTTCATAAAATCAGAAATATACCGGGTGATTTATAAAGAATGAGGTAAACTGGAGATGTTAGACACTATAATGTCGGGCTACAGGGGATTTAAAGTTTAAATTTATTTCTGAATTTTCCTATTAATTGAAAAAGTTTTTATAGTGTAGTAATACAAATTGGCAGTTTTAGGTTCCATTCAAAAACGTTTTTGCCCATTCTTTCACTACAGAATACGAAGGAGAACTTTGGCCGTACACACCATCCAGCCTTTTTTTAATAATTTTAGGTGCTAACCCTTCTTTTGTCAAAAACTTTATGACTGCTCTATACTCAATTTGCGTAATTTGCGACATATTTTCGGATATGTCGGTCTTGTTTAAAATGCTGTCAATAAAAAACTATTTGACGCAAGACTTCAATTTTTTTGTTCGTAGCCTACTAAGATATATATTTAAAAAAAGACAAAGTTTTATCGTGATACTGGAGCTGCATCTATGTCAGGCCGGGAAATTTTGGCGCTAACCTCGTAAAAAGTTGAAGGTATTTTTTTTTTTAATATTAATTACTTTATAAAATGAATATTGAAAAGTAATAACAAAATAATATTTAACTACAAGTTTGGGTAATAGTGACAAAAAAAAGTTCAAATCAAATTGTTCATCATCTCCCCAATATGTTTTACAATACACTCCTCCAAACTAACCAAAACTATCATTCCTAAGAGTCAGAGCTTCTTATATTTTCTGTCGCAACTCTTGCAAACAACGAAGTCCAGAGAGTTCAAGCATGGACTCCTTGGCGACCAAACAAATTCACTTTTGCTGCCAATCCACCGATGAGGAAATGCTTTTGTAACTACTGGCGCACTGGTAACGCAAAATATTTTCAATATATTTTCTTTTAAGGTGAGTGGTCCATGGTCCTAATTGAAGTTAAAATGAAGTTGAAATACAGAGTTCCAGTCAAAAGGACCGATGAAAGAAACAGAAATTACGCTAGACCAAATGTTCACCTTAACTCATACTCATAACCACTGACATTTTTTTGTATTTTGTGTTTTTGCCATAAATAATAAACGTTATTATTATTATTATTATTATTGTTTTCTTACGGTTCCTATACCATTTTCCAGAACAGTGTTCATATACTTTGAACACTATTACAGATTATAGACATGAAACGAGTCTGACTACCACAGAAAATATCAAACGATTATTCTCTCAAAAAAACAGACAATTTGCGCCACGTGTTTGTTAAATCGTTAACATTTTCCTGTGACTAGATTAAAAATTTCGCAACGCTCGTAAGGTTAACTGAACAATTATCTGATAACAATAATAATTTAAAAAACTGTAATCGGAGTATACCGTATACGTGTACGTATATATATATATAGATGCGCGATAATTTCCTTTCCGTTGGCTACCAACGAGCTTTGGCTTCCTTCGAGTGACCTTTTACGGCTGTTGTGCCGTCGTCCGTTAGTGATGAAACGAGAGATTGTCGACTGATTACGTTTATGTAACAATTTCTGCACGGAATTCTGTAAAACGGCCGGCTATACGAAGAGAGTAATTGGGAACGTTACTTAAGATAGTTTTAATTATGCGATATTTTGCCTTTTGCCAGAAACGGGGGTTCGATTGTTAAGCGCGCCATACACGATCGAGCAAGTCGTAAAAGTTTCTTTGCCCACTTGAAACTAAAACTTCGGTTAAATCCAAAATGTACGGCGAGATTTTAATACCAGTTCAAAAGAAGAAAGAAATTTATTCATATACACGGTGCTTATTAATTATTATTATTACTGGCTTGTGCCTCTGTAGCCTGCTTTACATGAATATTTTATTTTTATACGCTTTGCTTTGCGGTTCACAAGAAAGCAGCGTTTGTGTCTGTCATTCATCGATAATATCGCTAAATTTTATGTTTATGTTTATGTTTTTCTGTTTTTCAGGTCTCCTCTGGCTTTACCTATTGGAAATTGGACTCACAGTGCTGTCACTTGAACCTGGAGTAAGTATTGCGAACTGTCACATTTTTTAACTTTCACCTTTTTTTTTTTTTTTTCTGAAGCAACGAAATATTTTGTTTGTTTTTTAATCGATTGACTGTCAAATTGGCAGATGGAGATATCCCCTTTCTGCAGGAGAATAAAACGAAAATCAATTGTTTTATTATTTTTTTAATTAAATCGCATTTTTTCACACAAATTAAACCTAGTAAATAACAGAAAAAATTAATTACGGTCTCATTCCTTCCCAGAAATGCTGGAAGGAAGCAATAGAAAAGGACTTCTTCGGTGCGCGTGGCATATTTTTTTCGTGAGATTCATTACTAAGGCAGGTTTTTTCGTAAAATTCGAGCCACCACTGAGATTTTTTTCTTATTTTTAGATGCCTTAGAAATTAGTTCGATATGTTCGTGAATAGCCTAAAATCGTCTGTTTTATTAAACTGGCGCTTGATGAGTTCATATAAAGCCGGGTTGTTCATAGATATAAGAAAGTGACCAATTGCTTTTGAATGGGATTATCCAAGGGTGGGCATTATCATACAATGCAACAAAATTATTACCTAAAATTTCGGAATTTAAATTCAGGTAAAATTGTGGTCCGTAATAGGAAATAATTTTATACCTACCTGTGTTTGCAAAGGGTCTTTGGTTTGGTATACTACTTAGTTTAAGTTTATTAGTAATCATTTTTATTTCGTGTGTGATGCAGCGTGTGCGAATAATGCAAAATATGTGCGAGTCTAGTGTATCTCAGGAGATGCTCCCGCCCAAATGTAGAAAACACTATTCTATTAAGACTAAGGAAGTTATAAACAATGTTTATTTGACCCTCATTGAACGTGGTGCCAGCAAGCAAGCATCTTTAGAAGAAACGGCCACATTAATTAAAATTCCAACATCAGCTGCATGGAAAATTGTGAATAATCCCATTTCAGCGAGGAAAAAAAGAAGCGATGCTGACATTTTCTCGAGGGTAGATGAAAGTGATCAAAATATAATACGGCGTAAAATTTACCAGTTATACGAGGAACAAAGCGTGCCTACATTAGATACCTATCTAAATTAGGAGAAAAAGATGAAACCGGTGTTAAATGTGGCAGAATCACCTTATGGAAGTGTATTCAACACATGGATTTCAGATCTAAAAAATTGACAAAAGGCAAGTTTTAATGGCATCTTTTAGAATTCGGAAATGGCGACTGGAATATCTAGAAAAAAATTGGATTTACAGAGAACAACAAAGGCCAATTATTTACTTGGATGAAACCTGGTTCGACACTTATGATACCCCGGAAAAGGGTTGGGTTGACTCAACTGATAAGTGTAAAACAAACGCGTCATCAAAAAGAGGTAAAAGAATAACTACTTGGCATGATGGTTTTAAAGATGGTTGGATTCCAAATGGACTTTCTCTGTCTGCGAAAAATGTAAAATTTTTCCGATCAGATGAATGGCTTTGGAGGAAAAGCTGTTTTTCTGTGTGTCAAAATAACCACAAAAAAATAAAAAAAACATTTCGCGTTATATTATTGCTCCCAATTTAAAGAGTCTAAATGAGGGTCCAGATTTCTACTTCTCTCTCAACCCTGAAGCGGCAAATTTGGAGTACTTATTATGTTTTTTAATATTGCACGGAATATCGGGAACACCCTGTACAATACTTAAAAACCGTAAATACATAAGTTTAAGCTGTCTATATGGGCTATATCTTCGTGTAAAAGAAACTGACATCTAAAACACAGATTTCAAATTATTGCCAATGTTCAATAATAGGGGCACCCATTTTTGGAATTAGCGGCACACCCCGTATATTTCTGAAAAATTTTTAAAAATAAAAGTTCATGGAGTCGTTGTCTCTACGTTTTCTGGTTCAAAATTTTTCTTGTAAACGGTTTTTGAAAAATGGTGTTTTTGTAGACCCTTGCACACGCGATTTTTAATTTTTTTAAAATACTTCCCGACCCTCCAGCCCTCCCATTTTCAATAGGTTCCGTCATGTGGCAAACCTGCATAGGTGTACCAAATATGAATTTCGGACACTTATACGGTTTTATAGCAAAGTCCAAAAAACAGTCGAAAATCGCGGAAAAAAGATGGATACCGCAGTCGGATCGGGGCCATTTCTTATAAGCTTATGTGCCTCGTGGAGGGTTAAAAAGAAGGGAAATTTCAATTTTGTAGCTCCAACGGTTCGAAAGTTATTCAGGAAAAACCAAAATACGAGAACGGAGACCTACCTTTACCGAAATATAAAATTTTTATACGAGCGCAGATACTTTCGAAAAATTCGATTTCATCGATTTTCGAAAGTAGCAAGTCATATTTTTGGATTTTGAATTGTAAATTCCAAAGACACATTGGCAAATTCCTAAAGACTCATCGTCCTGTTCGCAAGTTTTTTCACCTACGTCTCTTGTAAGCCTTAAGTTCAGCGACTGCTACCCTCTTAGCATTATTCACTTTTAGTTTTTGCATTCAGCTTGTCACAAGTACTACGAGTATCCTTCGAGGGTCTGCTAAATTTTAAATGATAGATTTCTTCAAAATAGGGCAAAAGAAATTGTATCATCCGGATATTTTCGTTGAAACATTTCAAGCATAGTTTTTACAGATAATTTGCAATCCAGAAAACAAATTTCTCGAATCGTGTAGTACGATGTTTTTACAGGGTAGGACTCAATTTGTTGACTAATATTTACTTTTGGCATATAGCTTTATAGCTTATTAGCTTTTTATTGCATTTCCGCTAATGTTTTTTTCTACGCACATCTCTCGGACTTTTGCGATTTTTCAAGAGAGAAGCCGTAAACGGACAGAAAGGCCCTTTTGCACGTCTGTATTCTAATGTTTCCATTGTGTACAAAATATTTGACAGTTAGGGACTTCGGTTTACTAATATCTGTGATATCAGGGTTCCTCTTGCCCTTCCTGCCCTCTAACCAAAACTGTATGGTTGTATGTATTTCTACCAAGCTTTTAAAGTACAAATCTTGTTGATCCTTGGTTTCGAAATTAAAAAATGATTGAAGTATGCTCTGTCTGTCATCTGCATTCAGACCACTTAAAAATCTTCTCTAGCACCTAAAAGGACAACAATAAATTTACCACTGGCGACCACAAAACTAAAAATAACATCTCTCTTATAATCTTCACTATTTACACCTCTTTTTGTCGGTATTTCTGGTTCACTTTCTGAACTCGAACTCATTAACGTCTTGAATATAACGCAATAGAAATGAAACTAAAGCAATACGAAACGAATCACGTGCTATTTTATTTTCACTCCATTGAAACGAATTACAATTACACATTGATAGTGATAACGTCACTTTGTTATAGTGACCTACGAAGTTGCCTTTTTTAAAAATATATATATTTCTAAAAATTAAAAACAAATACTGGATTGCGGGGTAAGAAGGTTCTCATTTTCTATGGTCATCGCCAGATTTCTTTTTTATCTAAATGTTTTATTCGACTGCTTCAGACTGGCGAATAGTTAAGATAGCCTGAACGATTTAACCGTACCTTCGACCGAGTTGCACCTTTCGCAAAGAATTTGCCTATTAAAAACTTATGACAACGTCCCACACCTTTGAAATTATCTTAACTTCGAATAATGCAACCGAGCTGCGATATCGTAGGTATCTGTGCATAAAATGATTTTTGCCCACAACAAAGGTCAGATTCATAATGTATGATCTATTCGATCAGACTTATTTTAGACGGATAAATAAGCACACACGAATTAAAATTTTACGACACCCGGAAATAATTCAAAATTCGAACGTAAAATTCTACCAGCTTCACCAAACTCTCCGATTTAAAACCTTAAGAATTTGCTTCTCCTTCGCTTCTTCTTCCTCTTCTTCGTTTGTGGTATTTATATTTAGACATAAAACAACAGAATTTCAATGAATAAATGTTTCTTTCAACACTATTTTTCTATTTCTTCAAAACAGCATTAGGTGTTGGAAAACCAAAACCTAGTGATATTTTAATTAACTGTAAGTAATCAACAAAATTTTGATGACGATTTGGTGGAGTATCGTAAATTGAAGATATTCACTTCTATAATCTTAAATTAATATAAACATGATGATTCTGTTGCTGATATAAGTGATTATTGGACGAATATTGGACATGTCTTCCTTTTTTGCAATTGTTGGATATTAATGAAGAGAGAATATGGACTATGGATTTCGTCACTTTTATTTAATCTAGCCACGCCACTGGATACTAAAATCTCTTCGTACAACGTATATTTCACATAAAGTTCTAAGTGATAAATGGTCATTCATTTGGCTATTCGTTAACTATTAATTTTAAATAATTAACTGTGCCGATGTACCTACTACTTCGCGTCTGCTGTGTTGCCAATTTTTTTCCAATATCCCACGTCTTTAATGAATATTCAACTATTAATAAAGTCCAATTAAATCATATTTTGAAAACGAAAATTAGTTAAGGGAAATTTTTGCCATGATACGTGCTTTGAAACATAAGTAAGTGACCAAAAGAAAGCTACATTTTTCTGCTCCCCGCTCTAAACACTTGTGACTAAAAAAATTGCTATACTGTGTTTTTCCAGTAACAAAACCAAGACAGCCTGTATAACGGTACTTGGTTCCCCGTGCTTTAAATATTTCCATCACTTTCTTCTGCTAATAGCATTATTATTTCTCTACTCCGATAGGCAGTTGGTATGCCAATAATAATTCGCTTTGCGTCGAATAATTGCTAGTTTGTCGTCCCAGTAGTAACGGTCACTGTTTTCCACCGCCCGATGCTCCATATTTATCGTGTCGTTGAACAAACGCATGGCGAATTTAATTGGATATCAGCAGATTTATGGAAAAAAGCGACCAATGAGTGCCGCGACTATTTATACAGTAGAAACATTTCCACAATTTAATAGAAAACTCGATATAATTATGAAATAAATTATAAACGTCGATATAACGGTTGTCGCATTGTGAAAAGAAAGAAGTAAAATGGAACAA